ATTTGTACGCCTTTCCTGATAGTAAGACACACTAAAGCCTGAAAATTATTTTAAATTACTTCTGTTACTCAGTTTTTCACTTTTTGTATTAACTACTGGGGAAGGAGGAACCACTGCAGGGCAGTAGAAGTATGTTCATTCTATCAGAATCATAACAGTCAAATTATCTTCATTATTATCAGACTGAAGAAAATCTAATAGTCTTATTTAAAAAGTACTTTGTTATAAATATACTTTACAGAAAAGAATTTTTTTTCTTTTACTACCACCCATTTCCCGCAAATTTAAAAGCAAACAATTGAGTTCTATTTCATTCAGTGACAATTTTTCTTTTTTTTCTTTTTTTTAAAATATATATATTTAAATCAATAATATATATATATATATATATATATATATATATATATATATATATTATTGATTTTGTACAGAGAGGAAGGGAGAGAGATAGAGAGTTAGAAACATCGATGAGAGAGTCATCGATCAGCTGCCTCTTGCACACCCCCTACTGGGGATGTGTCTGCAACCAATGTACATGCTCTAGACCTGAAGTGAACCTGGGACCCTTCAGTCCACAGACCGACGCTCTATCCACTGAGCCAAACCGGTTTCGCCCAATTTTTCATTTTAATTTGGTGATCTACTAATATCATTCAAACTAGTATATTTTATTAAATGCAAATTATAGACCTAATAACGTAAATGGGTATTTAGAAAAATAACTTTATGGAAAAATTGATAACCAAGCTAATTTTAAAATATACTTTATATTGTAGAAAATTTAGAAGTACTAAAAAGGAAATTATTTTTAGATATTACTAAAGGACCGCTTCATCATTTTAAACATAATAGATTGCACAATCAGCAATCCTAGAAAACAGAATCTACTCAATCCTCACCCCCACCCCCCCAAATTAGCTATCTAGAAAATAACTTAAGCTTGCCACCTCCTAGCTACTCCACACATTAGGCTTCATAATAATGAGAAACCTCAATGAGAGAGTAAATTACCACAACAAAATGGTAAAGAAATAACTATTGCCCTGAACAGTTTGGCTCAGTGGATAGAGCATCAGCCTGGGGACTCAAGGGTCCCAGGTTCGATTCCGGTAAAGGGCATGTACCTTGGTTGCGGGCACATACCCAGTAGGGAATGTGCCAGAGGCATCTGATCAATGTTTTTTTCTCATTGATGTTTCTAACTATCCCACTCCCTTCATCTCTGTAAAAATTCAATAAAATATATTTTTTAAAAGAAATAACTAGTGTTTTCCACTGTATATATTACATGCAAATTTAACCTGAACTTATCCAAAATTTGAGAAAGAAATGAATTTAAGTGATGCCAGCTGCTGGCCACAGCCTTTTTTTCATTCTGCCTTTCATTTCTCAATGAAAATTAAACTTTAAGAATATCAAGAAATTGATTTTGATGTTTACAGGGCATCAAAACAATAAGAACTAACCATAAAAGAAAATATAATTACAACTAGTCCTACTCCCCTCACCCTTATCCCCTTACAGTAAATATGGCAAATAAGCAGTCATTAAAAAGAAATTTTCTCCACACATATCCACAGTTGCATTTTCATAATAGCTAAAAAGTATAAACAATCCAAATGTCCACCAAGTGCCAAATGAAAAACAAAATGCAGTACACACCACATAATAGAACGTTATTTGCAATAAAACAATGAAATTCTGATACATATTATGAACATGAAGCGAGTAACAAAGGACCAGAAATTATATGATTTCATTTATACCACATGTCCAGAATATGAAAATCTATAGAGATAATAGATTAATGGTTGGGAGAACAGGGGTAATGCAAGATGATGGGTAAGAGATGACGAGTTTCTTTTGGGGGTGATGAAAATGGCCTAAAATTGTGATGAAGATTGAACAACTCTGCAAATAAACATAAAAACACTAAACTGTATAATTCAAAGTAGGTAAATTATATAATGTGAATTTCATCTGAATAAGGCTATTTAAAAAAAGAAATCACTTAAAAACCATATCAAGTCTTTAGACATATTTATTTTGAATTTCTTCAAATCCTGGTAACATCTTGTATTATAATACAACTAGAGGCCCGGTACACAAAATTCGTGCATAGGATGGGTGTGTGTGTGTGTGTGTGTGTGTGTGTGTGTGTGACCTCATCCCAGCCTGCACCTTCTCCAATCTGGGACCCCTTGAGGAATGTCTGACTGCCCTACTGCGATCAGGCCTAAACAAGCACTCGCACATCCCTCTCAAAATCAAGAACTACTGGCTCCCAATTACTTGGCTGCCTGCCTTCCTGATTGCCCCTAACCATTTCTGCCTGCCAGACTGATCACCGCCTAACCACTCCACTGCCAGCCTGATTGATGCAGGCCAGGAGGGGGGCATTTCGGGGTCAGGCTGGCAGAGAAGGCAGTTGAGGGCAAGTAGGCCAGCAGGGGAGGAGGGGGGGTTGGCAGTTGGGGCAAGCAGGCCAGCAGGCAGTGTGGTTAGGGGCAGGCAGGCAGGCAGGCAGGCAGGCGAGTGGTTAGGAGCCAGTGATCTCGGATTGCAAGAGGAATCGTGCCTGAACCAGCAGTCAGACATCCCCCAAGGGGTCCCAGATTGGAGAGGGTGCAGACCAGGCTGAGGGACCACCCCCCCCCCAATTTGTGCACAAATTTCATGCACCACACCACAAGTCTCTATATATAAAAGCCCAATATTCAAAATGTCCCCTTGGGAGTTCGACCAACCAGGATTTCAATCGCTCACTTTGATGTATGCTAATCAGCAGGGGGTGGTGCAGAATGAAAAAAGGCTGTGGCCAGCAGCTGGCAGCCAGGAAAGAGAGGTCCTGGCTGGCAGCTGCTAGGAATCCTACCTGTGCACAAATTTTGTGCATTGGGCCTCTAGTGTGTGATATAAAAGAAATCACACACGTGTAAACTTTTAGAATTGGCATTATTCAATCAGGATAATTCTTTGGAGATCATGCAAATTGGATATATCAATGGTTCACTCCTTTTTGTTTCTATGGAATGGCTGCACCACTGTTTAACCAATCACCTGTTCAAGGACATCTGGGTTGTTTCCAGTTTGGGGCTATGACAAATACAGGTGCCACAAAAATTTGTGTGTGGCTTTTTGTGAAAACATAAATTTTCATAAATGTGGGATAGATATTCAAGAGTGTAATTCTGGGTTGTATAGTTAAATACCAATTTTAATATCAAACTGGTAATGTTCCTGGAAAAAAAAATGAAGATCACTTTCAATCTCCACTCTCCACTGACTTTGTTTAATTTAACAAAATTACTCTCTAAAGCTGACTTGTAACTCAACAATTCTGCTAAAGGACCAAGTACTGCACTAAGCATTTTAAATACATTATCCTATGTAATCCTTGCATCAACAATGAACTAGGTATTAATATTATCTCCATCTTACAACTGAGAAAGCTGAGCTATAAAAGAGGCTTAGGAAGTGAACCAGAGTCACACAGCTAGGATATAAAGAGCTGAGGCTGAAATTCAAGCCTGCATGACTCAGAAGTCTATTCCTTTCATCTCAATATACTACCCCTCTCATTTCTATACTGTGCGTGTGACTAGATGCAAAAGTATATAAAGTTTACACATGAGAATTACAGTTCACAAATGAGATTTTTAAATTAGACATGATCTCTAATGTAGTACATAAATAACCAACATTAATCTAATATTCTATCGATATTTGCACAAATTTGTATATGGAAAAATTAATAAGTACTGGAGGGAAGTTCACATAAATTAATCCTTTAGTTTTTCCTTATTAAGTTTCTTTTCATTTATTCATTAGCCTTGCAGTGATTAGGAAACCTGGAGACAGGAAAAAAAAAAAAAAAAAAAAGAAGAAGAAAGAAGGAAGAAGGAAGAAGGAAGAAGGAAGAAGGAAGAAGGAAGAAGGAAGAAGGAAGAAGGAAGAGAAGAGGAAGAGGAAGAGGAAGAAGAAGAAGAAGAAGAAGAAGAAGAAGAAGAAGAAAAAGAAGAAGAAGAAGAAGAAGAGGAGGAAGAAGAAAAACAACAAGGGAAAGGAGAGTAATGATGTATGAATTAAAAGTCCCTCACACACCAAGCAAGTGAAAGAGCAGGGCCTGTGTCCAAGGTGGATGACACATCCCAGATCCTCACTTATAGGCCCTCCTATTAGCCCAGGTTAGTATGAGGAGCTCTTTCCCAGAGGTCCCGTTAACTGGACCTCTGCAGCAGGGACCACAGCACATCTCCATGCCTACCTGATGCCCAAAGAAACAAATCACAACAGGTGTTATTGGAACAAACACTATCATCAAAAATGTCATAACAAACTTTTTACTTTTACAGTTCCTAAGATTTTCTGATTTTTTTGCCATAAATATTTTTTTTACCAATATTGCCTTAAATATACTCACACTTGATTAGCAATGATTATAACAATAATTACAGTTATAAAAACTCATCAATTTCCTTTGCTTACGGAGAAATTAAATGAATATTAGTATGTAACTTGGATACTATAATGTTTAATTCTAAATTGGCTTTTGAGGAGCACTTAACTAATTTTGAAAATCTAAATAAGTATACCTTGCACCAAAGTATTACTCATGTTAACTCCCAACTTTTTCAGATATAAAAACTAATACAATGAGGAGCCACAATGAGAAATTGCAAAAATCTCTTCAAAATTATAATAATCAACTTATGAAACTAACATAGAACAGAATAAACAATTTGTGGGACTATAATTATATAGTTTACAAAGAACCCTAGTAAGTCAATTTCTAGGAAAGTACCCTACAGAAATAACTGCAAATGTATACCAAGTTGCACCTATAAGAAAAATTATGATATAGAATAAATTGAAATTCTATATACTACTTAAAAATGCTCTAAAATAGCATACAGCATGAAAGATTTCATACTATAGTGTTCAATATAAAAGTCAGAAAACAGTTATAAAACAGTGTGTATGATACACATGAAACCTACTTGCAGTTGAACTGAATTATGCCGAAGACCTTCCACAATAGAAGAAAACCTGTCAATTCTTCTTTCTTCTCCAGCTGATGTTAAAGCTTCTAAAACATCTTCAAGGCTATTGGAAATTTTGGATTTACTAATTAAATCGCAAGCAACAAATAACCCAAATGCCATAGTTTAATTGCTTGATTTAACAAACTCTAAAGTCACTACTTCCAGGCAGTAAATAACATTTTTTAAATGGCTTACACAATATGTATCAGCAGTTTACATAGCATGTATCAAGCTCTAAGCATGTTATTTTTATCTATTTATTCCTCATAATAATCCTATGATGATGTTTATTCACCAAGCATTTATATTGTGCTTATTATACATCAGACATTTTTTGAACCAATTTACAAATAGTAACTAATTTTAATGTATATCCCTTATTACAGATAAAGAAACTGAAGCAGAAAAGGTTAAGCTATTTGTCTCACATCTACTAAATGTTTATAAAAATCTAAAACATTATAGTCTGTGTGGTAAGCACATATAAATGCTTTTAACCACCACACTCTACTTCCTCTCAAATACAGTAAGTGAAGGTCTGGTAGCCAAAAAATATATAGTGGTAAGAAATAATAGTCAAATATAAAAAATAAGAGCTGCAAGAATTATACTTGCTCCTCCTTTAAAAATAGCTATGTTAATAGGACCTTGCATACTGTAGAAGGTGAGAATTTCATAGTTTGTGAATCTAGACTTGTAGTCCTAAGTTATTTACATCATTTTGAGTCCTATTCTGAAATTAAAAAAGAAACAGTAATAAAAATAATATGGAGCTAGAAAAACAGGAAGGAGAATAGGAGAGAAAACAAAGGATAAGGAAAGATAAAGGAGCTCTAGTAGGCCTGCAGACTGAAGGGTCACTGGTTTGATCCTAGTCAAGGGCATATGCCTGGGTTGCGGGCTTGATCCCCAGAGGATGATGTGCAAGGGTCAGGTGATCAATGATTCTCTGTCATCACTGATGTTTCGTGCTCTCTCTCTCCCTCTCCCTTCCTCTCTAAATCAATAAATCAATAATATATATATATATATATATATATATATATATATATATATTTTTTTTTTTTTTTTTTTTTTTTTTTTTTTTTTAAAGAAAGAGCCTTAACCGGTTTGGTTCAGTGGATAGAGCCTGCAGACTGAAGGGTTCCAGGTTCGATTCCGGTCAAGGGCATGTACCTTGGTTGAGGGCACATACCCAGAAGGGGTGTGCAGGAGGCAGCTGATTGATATTTCTCTTTCATCAAAGTTTCTAACTCTCTACCACTCTCCCTTCCTCTCTGTAAAAATCAATAAAATATTTTTTTAGCCGGGTCCGGTTTGGCTCAATGGATAGAGCGTCGGCTTGGGGACTGAAAGGTCCAGGGTTCGATTCCGGTCAAGGGCATGTACCTTGGTTGCGGGCATATCCCCAGTGGGGGCTGTGCAAGAGGCAGCTGATCGATGACTCTCTCTCATCGATGTTTCTGGCTCTCTATCTCTCTCCCTTCCTCTTTGTACAAAATCAATAAAATATATTTTAAAAATATTTTTTTTTTAAAGAAAGATAAAGGAGAGGGAAAGAGGAGAAAATGAAAAAAGTAAGAAATAAGGGAAAAAAGAAAGAAAAGAAAGAGTGTGAAAGAAGAACAGAGAAAGGAGGGAAGCATAGGAAGGAGGAAGATGCAGGAAAAGTAGAAGGGAGAGAAAGAGAGAGAAGGAGCACAGGAAGTACCTTAAGTGTCAACATTAAATTCAGCCTGGAAGGAAACTTGAATTGGGGTGGTGAACACACAATACAATGTAGGGATGATGCATTATAGAATTGTAGCCCTGAAACTTACATAATTTTATTAACAAATGTCACCACATTAAAAAAAAAAAAACTAAAAAAATTAAGTCTGCTCTTAGGTTCCTACACCAAAATGAATATGGCCTTTTAAAATGGGAAATGGAAAGTGTTGAGGCTGTACACCTGGCTTTGCATGCAGGGACTGCAGCAGACAGTCTCATCCACTGACACTCTCTATAGTTGTATATGGGGCAGAGGGGCAGGGCTCAATGCTGTCTGTGGACTCTCCAACTAGGTCCAAATTCAGTGGTTCAATAGTCACCAGTCACAGCAGGATCACAAGTACAATTTTCAAATGTGTGCAGGAGATTCCGCTTACAGGGCTCTGCCTACCCAAATATGAGAGGGCTATTTGCTTGTCCTTTTGGTGGTTTGGTTTTTATAGCTTTACTCTTTTAAAAAAATATTTTTTTCAAAAATTTTTAAATGCTTCCCTGTATTAAGAACTGTCAATCTTCTTTATAAAAATAGTTCATCTTTAATAATTATCTTTTAATATATGTAATGATCTTTTAGTTACAGCCCTAACATGTGAATAATGTAGTTTTTTAAATTTATCTTTATTGTTGAAAGTATTATAGCTGTCTCCCTTCTTCCCCCACTGACCCCTCCTCCCTGCTCCCGTCCCTCCTGTGAATAATGTATTTAAAAGCTTTAGCATATATTTTTATGATTAAAAGTTAGTAAAATACAATACCCTTAACCAGTAAAATACAATTCTTTATGTCACTTTCTAAATCTGCCTTACATACAGATTTTCAAATACTATATTAGCTTTTACAAGGGATTATACATGTCCTACATTTTGAATTATTTCTATCTGGAAAAATATCATATACAAAGCAGAACTCATTCGTATATTTTTCAAAAAGTCTTCCTTTAGAATTTTTATTTAGGGTTTGAGTTCAGACCAGTTTGAAATAAGTAAGATGAAGAGGTCAGTTTCTCAGTCTATATGAATCTAAACCAGCTGCTTAAGTATACTTCATTTCCTTAAATTCTAGACTAAAACACAATGGATAATGAAAACATTAAATAACTCCCGTTGCATTAAGTCATTACAGGAGAAGAGAAATGAGGTGAGAAGACTCACATGCTCTCCTCCCCCACGATGCACACTGCAGAGAGAAGCTTCACCAGGTCTGTCATCACACTGGGCTGCTGGGGATCGATGGCCCTGGCCAGTAAGGACAGACTCCGCTCTTCACTCATAATCCTTTCTAAACCATACTAGAACATTTTGGAAATAAGAGGCTAAATGTTAACAGTCAGTTTCATAAAATAGTGTTCTGAAAAAAAATGGAGTTATTAAAAAATGTCTATATTTTTATACTTAGTAAAGAATGTATAAAATAAATAACAAATAACATCCTAAAACAATTCATAGAAATATACACGTTACATCAAGAACTATGAGAATCAACCAAATTTAGAAAACCACTCAAATGTGATTTTGTAACAACAATGACTGATAATTATTAACATAGATAAGTTACCACTGGAAAAAGAGAGAAGCATACTAAAATGCTAAGATTTCCCAACAGAGACATATAATGAAGAGTGAGATACTAAAGTAGATACTAAGGCCATAAGATCCTTCATGAGAAGGAAGATCGATAAGCTATATATGACAAATATATGCACAATGTCCCAGAGAAATATACTGTGAACTACATGTGCAATGTAAAATTTATAAGCAAAAAATAAAACTAGTTTTAAAAGAACTATTTTAATATATCCAAAATGTTATCATTTCAACATATAATAGAATCAAAATAAAACATTCACCGATGAAACATTTTACTTTTTTCTCCCTGATTAATCAAAGTCTAGTATGTATTTTACACTTATAGTACATCTCATCTCAGACTAGCCACATTTCAAATGCTCAACAGCCACATACATATAGCAACCACATTATACAGTGTAGGCCTGGAGAGTAGCCCTAGTTCAGAAACAGGCAAAAGCTGAAGGATGATGTGGGCATATAGAAACTGCCATAAGGAACATATGTATTCTGATAGAAATAATACTGTATTATCAGAAAACTACTGTAGTTGTAAACACATTATAAAAATGGGATGATTTGGGATGAGGATAAAGTTTGATTGCTACTGCCAAGTTGTCACATCCAATTAGAAGTAATTATGTTAATGACTTAATGTTTTGATTTTATGATGTATACATCTCTGGAGGTCCTTTTATAATCTATGAAAGACAAATATCAAACAATAAAGAATAGAATCAATAAAACAATGCTATTTATCTACCATGCATCCCAGAGAATCCTCAAAAGAGTAAGAAATTGGTTGATTACAGTTACTCCTAAGAATTATAAGGGGCCTTATACCAATTATAAACCTATGAACACTCAAAATTAGTACTAGATATAAGTAGCAAGTTGAATCTATAACAAAGTTGAATCTAGAACAAATGTTTCGAGTTTTATGAAACTTTAATTATAACTTTCCTACTATAAATATCATTTACATAAAGAAAGTTTCACCCTATGCTAAAATATTGCATTTGCCTTACACTATTATCTAGGGAATACAGGTACAGTGGAGGAAGGACAAACAAAAGGATCAGTCTTGCCCGGCCATTGTGGCTCAGTGGTTAAGAGTCAACCCATGAACCAAGAGGTCGCTTGTTCAATTGCTGGTCAGGGCATATGTCTGTGTTTTGGGATCAATCCTTGGTAAGGGGTGTGCAGGAGGCAGCCAATCAATGTTTATCTCTCATTGATGTTTCTATCTCTCTATCCCTTATCCTTCTTCTCTTTCTAAAATAAAAAAATATTTTTTTTTTAAAAAGACTTCTCTGCCTTGATGATAGAGAGAAGTTTACAGAGATAACTAGAATGGCCAGGAAATGCTTACTTTTGTGATGTCATGGGCTGTTTCATACCTGTAAGCAAAGAATAAAAAAGCAGGCATAGGGCCAGAGACTACATATTATGCCTTGATAATCATTCCAGAAAATTGTCAGAGGCTTATAAAGTACCACTTAGATCCAATTCAAAATGTCAGTTAGTCAAGAATTACCAAGAACCATGGGACTGGCTCTGTCCTAAGAAGCCTAAGGATTGAGAAAAGCTTGCCGCCAGCATTTCCCCCTCATTTCCCTCCCACTTGGTTATCCTTAGCCAGTGCCTGTCCTTCTGCAAAGATAATCCTATGGCTCCTCCAACCGCAGAATTTTCATACTGATTTCTTCCAAGTTATACTACCTACCTTCACTATCAAGCCCTAAACCATCACTTACAAAGGGTAGAAATAGAAGTGTTCTCTGATCTCATAGCTGTGATAACCATTCTGTGACTCCCAAAGCTCCATCATAGGCAATATTCTCTGAATTTTGCTAATGTAAAAATGTGTAGTTATCATTTTAAGTCTAGAATGAGGCCAGATTGTAATTATTCAGTATCTAAAACTGAAGATAGAATTGCTGCCCACTTGTATAAAATTACTCTCATTCAATTATTTAAAACACAAAGCAAAAGAAAACAAAAAATGTTGACTCCAGTCTGTGGGAGAAATAGTCAACTTACCAGTGCTGGCATGGAAAGTGCATTAAATGAAGATTATTATAAAGTTAGAGAGATGGTGACAAATTGTGGAAGATTTAAGGATGTCTCTCCACTGAATGTCAAAGACCTACTCTGGATTATATGAAAACCCGTGTGTTCTAAACAGGTTCCATTTGCATTCTACAGGAGGCCTATTATTACCTAATAAATGGAATCTCTGGCCAACAAAGAAGTGTTAGGTAGGGGAAGGTCAATACCTCTTGTACAGGGTGTTCAACACTACATGTAAACTGGCGCAGAACAACTCCCCACCCTTCCCCACCCACACATCAATGAGTTGATTCTAGTGGCACAGACATTGTGGGAAGTGAGGCTGACCTCAGGAGTAAAGCACCCTTGCTAGAGGCATACAACTCAAAGCCACACGCAAAAATTTAACTGACCAGAAGGAAGCCCCTCTTCTTATTACCTTTTAATTTAAATAAATTAACTTTCCATAATCTTTTTCATTTAAAAATATTAGTTATTCCATACCCTGGCTGGTTTTGCTCAGTAAATAGAGCATCGGACTGCAGACTGAAGGATCCTGGATTGAATTCTGGTCATGGGCACATGCCCAGGTTGCAGGCTCGAACCCCAGTAGAGGGCATGCAAGAAGCAGCCAATCAATGGTTCTCTCTCATCATTGATTTTTATATCTCTCCCTCTCCCCTCCTCTATGAAATCAATAAAAATATTAAATATGTATATATAGTCCAATTTAGTGTTATAAGAAATTCACTTTCACATGATATTATCAAATTTGCTTATTAATTACATACACAATTACTAGTACAGTACAAATAAGGTACCACATTTTCATATCCTAAAGCCTATAATGATCATCATTCCGGGACCTCTTAAAAGACTGCTCAGTGAGGTACAGGGAAAATCACCAACAGGTCTTGGGAAAAAATAAAAACCTTTATCAAAAACTTTAGACAGATATATTACTAATTCTAAGTATCAGTAACTTTTCATTTTTATTAGCACAAGTGATATCAATAAATACAAATAGCAATATATTTCAGCTACACATATACAAACTCTAAGTAACACAATGTTATTATAAGAAGTTACATTGTAGTCATTAGAATATAAATTCAAACTTTAATTCTTCTATAATTCAGTCTCATATCAAGTAGAAATACTGTCTTCAATATGCCATCTCACTTTAACCATAATACTCTTCTCAAATTCAAATTATGATGTACCTACCCTCTGGTTTAAAAAAAAAATTTTCTGGGTTTTCTCTACTCTGACACTTTCCAGTACTAGTGAAATATTCAATTTCTATATTTTCACTTTAAAAGGAGCCCCATAAAGCACTACTATGTACTCACAATGGGAAAAGACCTCTCCCTGCTGTTTCTGATTCTTTTATTCATTTATTCTTACATTTTACAAAATATCTAAAACCTACTTTAATATATTTACATTATATTTAACAAAATATCTAAAACCTACTTCTCATAGGACAGAAAAAAGACTTGTAATTACTATATCAGATATTTCCCTTAAAAATCTTATTAGAAGGGCCAAAACTGGTTTGGCTCAGTGGATAGAGCATCAGCCTACGGACTGAAGGGTCCCAGGTTTGATTCCAGTCAAGGGCATGTACATGGGTTGCAGGCACATCCCCAGTAGGGGGTGTGCAGAAGGCAGCTGGTCGATGTTTCTCTCCCATCGATGTTTCTAGCTCTCTATCCCTTTCTCTTCCTCTCTGTAAAAAATCAATTTATATTTAAATCCGTAAACTAAAAAGTTAAGTCTTTCCAACTTGATTTTTTTGGTAATAAATATTACTGCAAAACACATTTAATAATCATATATAATTTCAAAGCTGATTAATGCTACAGTTTTGAAAATTAAGAAAGAGAGAGAGAGAGAGAGAGAGAGAGAGAGAGAGAGAGAGAGAGAGAGAGAAAGTAGAGAGAGTAGAGGGAATGGGTGAGAAGAAAAGAAGATAAAAAGGGAAGGAGGGAGGGAGGAAAGGAAGGAGAGAAAATTAATCTACACATGAGAAGTTAAGTGCCAGAAGAAGGTCCATTCATACCCAAATTTCTCTTCTGGGTGACTTTCAAACAATTGAAAGCTGATTTTCAAACAATTCAGTACTTTTCCCATTGTGTACTAAATAGCACATTAAATCAACACCATCACTTAAATGTAAATTCTTTATCATACAACTCTAATTCTTAAGACTTCTAGAAGAACTGGGGGGAAATGAATACATTATGATTAACCATGTCAATACCTGTGTATTCATCAAAGCCTTTAAACACTGTATGACTCTGTGCTGATTCTTCTTAACAATGGTTTCTTGTCTGTATTGGCATAAAAGACATCACTGTTAGAATTATAAATGGACATGCAAATGTAGCTTAAGTGAAAATAAGTAGCAACACTTACGTTTTGCTTCTAATCAGTTTTTCCAAAATGTCCAGTAATAACCCAAGCCCCTCACGTCCAAAGCTCTCCACCCAACTAAAAAAATAGAGGATAAAGGTAGTTAGTTATGCATTTAAGTCAGTATTCAAAGTTTGTTATATCACAATAATATGATCACAAATATTTTACAACTGTTATATTTAACTCATAAACACAATGTAAGAATAACACCTTGTACAAAAAATCATTCATAATTCATATTCAGCTGTGACAGAAAGAGCAAAAATGGGATAAGTCAATGGTATGCATTCTTATAAATGTTAAGAATTTTCTAAGTTTCAAAGTTCAATTGTTTTATTTTTAAAGTCTAGTTATTTTTAAATGCGAATTTTCATCCTGACCAAACCACTTCTATTGTATATTCCATAAATCCATAGGTACAGTACTGTATGTAATTAGGACATTACTACTAATAGACAACTCACCTTAGTAATAGAAAAACTACCTTCATAGAAAAAAATACAATTTTTCAGTCGTGATTTAGAAAGCCTAAGTCAATAAATAAAATGGTAACTATCTGTCTTTAAAAAAAGTGGAGAAGAAAAAAAATATGTGTGTATATTTCTTTGTATACATGTGTTTATTTGTATGCATTATTTGTGTGTCTCTGTATGTGGCCTTAGAAAAATGGAATGTTAAAAACAAAATTTCGCCGAAGCAGGTTTGGCTCAGTGGTAGAGCTTCGGTCTGCGGACTGAAAGGTCCCAGGTTCGATTCCGGTCAAGGGAATGTACCTTGGTTGCGGGCACATCCCCGGTGGGGTGTGTGCAAGAGGCAGCTGGTCAATGTTTCTCTCTCATCGACATTTCTAGCTCTCTATCTCTCTCCCTCTCTGTGTTAAAAATCAATATAATATTTTTTTTAATAAATTTCATTTAATAATCAAAAGCAGCACATTATAAACAATAAAAACAAGTTAAAATAATACAAACAATAAAAATGTTATACCAGGACATAACATTTTCTTACTTTACAATATAGTATATCCCATGAAAATAAGGGTAAAAACCAAATGCAATATTGCATATAAAAAATAAAAATATTTAAAAATTCACCTTCATTTTGCACCTGTCTATGAACACAGCTTAATCCCCTATTAATACTCAAAAATTCTGATTTTAGCTCTCCGTCTCAAAAAAAAAAGGAATTTGTGCTTTAGATTGGCAGACTCTTATCAGATTATTTTTACTCATTTCTTTTCTATGAAAACCAAGGAATAACTATTCAATAATGCAGTTAAACGGTAAAGGTACTCCCCTGTAAAAGAAAACATGGAAGATCATTATCATAGTTAAGGGGGGAAAGTTAAATAGAAGTTGATGTTTTCAAACCTGAATGCCTCTTCAACAGTGAAGTTTACTCTGCACTACCAGCAACAGATGTTACCTGTAGGCATTTCAATTCCTGCTTTTATGTTTCATGAAAACCCTAGAGCATCCCATTAACTGTTGGCCTTGATGACCTCTATTCTGGATTTATTCTTATTTCACATGTGGCAGGGAAGCTTGAAATCAAACACATCAGAAGGAATTTGAGAGTTTTCTTGGGCTAGCACTGGGATGTGGACTTCAGTCCCTCCTGTGTTAGTACTTCACAGTGGGACTTCAGTGTTTTGTTTTAAGTAAATTGTCAACAATCTCATATTCAAAAGTATATCTATAAAGATATTCTGAAACTAATATAAATGGTTTAGGATGATTCATACTACTATCACCTTCAATCATTGTGGACAATAAAGTTACTATTCCTAAAACTGCCTTATACCAAAATACATAAATTTAACATTATACTAATATAACAAAAAGACTTTGTTACATTTAATGTTTATCTGGGAGTCTACTATAAAATTTAGAAAGCATATTACTCCAGAGAATTCAAGATGTCTTCTTGTCTGAGTTTTTAATAATAGAACATAGCTATTTAAAGAATTTATCACCACTAATATAACAACTATGACTAGAATATTGGAGCTCACAGAAGTTCTCAAATCAACTATTTCTGAACCCACTATATATCTCTCTTCTATATTGTAAAATATGAATCATTAAAGTAAAACTTACAGCACTAGCTGAATTGGCTCAGTAAATAGATTGTCAACCTGTGGACTAACGGGTCCCGGGTTCCATGCCAGTCAAAAAGACATGCCCAGGTTATGGGCTTGATCTCCAGTAGGGGGCGTGCAGGAGGCAGCCAATCAATGATTCTCATCATTGATTTTTTCTATCTCTCTCCCTTTCCCTCCTCTCTGAAATCAATAATATTTTTTAAAGTAAAACTTATATCCATTCATGTCTATTACATATAAACTAATTCTCTATAAAACAAAGTTGAATATAAAGAGGCATCATACCTAATAACTTTATACTATACTCTTTTAAATCGTGGTGGGAAATAATTTATCAACAACCATAAAATCAGAGGTTGGCAACAGTCTTATCAAAGGCAACTTACATTTTACATTTCATAAAACATAAAAACAAGAAAAGTGGAACAGGGTGTGAAGAGAGGAAACTACCCTGTTTCCCCGAAAATAAGACAGTGTCTTATATTAATTTTTTCTCCCAAAGTTGCGCTACGTCTTATTTTCAGGGGATGTCTTATCTTTCCATGCGCTAAGTCTTATTTTCGGAGGATGTCTTATTTTTGGGGAAACACGGTAGGATGCCTGATAACAAAAGAAACACTAATTTTTTTTAAACACAAAATGGAAGCTGATGAAAAGTATTCATTGAATAATCAAACACAAATTAAATAGGCATAAAAAGTCTCCTGTTTTCCAAAAAAATGTTAATATGTTGTATTAATAAGTTGTCACCCACAAACCCCTTCTCTCAAACCTTTTCCCCCACCCCTATTTTTTTAGCAATATTATTTTTAAGAATGGGGCAAATATCAGTTCCTATCTCTTCTGGAAAAGATGTTCAAGGTAAAAAGTGATATTGAGTAGGTAGGTATGCAGTCCTGACAGAGGTTTATTGAAATCCATAGCTTTCTACAAAAGTAAAAAATTTCTCATCATCAGTGTAAGAAGCAACCTGGAAAAAAATTATCACCTGATTTATAAATGATCAATCTTCAAGAAACAAAATCTGTACTATTTATTCTGTGCCTGTCAGCACTGTAGCGCCAGGCATTATGTGGCTTAACTATAAACTGCATTCATGGATGAATAAGCAGTGTGCAAATGTTTTTTCTTCATGAACAGAAATGGCATAGAGATTATTATGGCATTTGTATTGGGGGAAATTGCTTTAAAAAAGCAAAAAGTAATGTGCTAAGTAATAATTTAACACAAAATCTACCTCTTAAAATTCTTTAACAGGAAATATCAAACCCTTTTCTTGTAATTGCTTCAAGAGAAACTGCTAAATATATTACCATTTAGCACTTCCTAGTAAGAGTCTCAATGTAAGAGAAAAGAAAAAAGTGAAGAGGTAACAGAAGGGGGGGGGGGGGGGGCGGGGAGAGAACAGGTTTCTAGGATTAAATGTTGAAACCACCTTTAAATGTTCAAAGCAGTTTAGGCTTTCAAATGCAGTAATTACTTCTGGAGACACAGGATGAAAGCAAAAGTGTGCAAAGTGGTTTCCAAAGTATTATTGGCTTCATGAAGCAAATACAGTCACCTCATTGAGCAGAAGAGGCAAAAGTCAGGTGTCAGCTTTACTATCTAGCCAAAGGAATAAAGCACTATGAGTGTATGTTTCCCACAGACTAAAGTTCAAGTTATTAGCATCTTCCTAAATGTGCCCTAAGGGAGAGAGAGACAAATGCATCACAATTGTCAGAGCTGGAATAAAAGCTATCCAGATCTTAAAAGCAATCTTACCTGGCCCATACACCTAGAGAATAGGTACCATTTCTTATTTGTCTTTAAATCACCAGCACCTAGGACAGACTACACTGAATAAATGGTTTTAGAGTGAAACTGAATCTCCTTCCATTTTTATATAGAAGGAACAGAGAAAGAGAGAGAGGATAAGGTCACTTAGAAAGAACATCTAGGTCTGTGATGCTCAGGCGTATGCCCTTACTTTACATACACAGAAAAAGGCAAAAAGAGATAATGTGTTCATGGAGCAACACTGAGCCTGCCTCAAACTTCATGCCAGGAACATCAATTCTGATTTTGAAAATGGTACTTATCCATACTGACCCACGGATAATGAATTTTAAGACTGTCCTGCATCACACTTTTGGACTTGACTGTGGCTGGAAGGGTGAAGTTTCATCACTACTAATATTCATGTGCTCATTAACAAAGTCAGCCAGCCTTTAATAAGGGCTCACTGTGTGCGAGATACTATACTACATATAAGAAATACAAAAATGAATAAAACATGTTTTCTGCCCTTGAAAGGACCACAGACTAGTGGTTGAAACAAATGTTGAGCAAGATTATTTCTCTAATGCAATAACAAGTGTTATAATCATGGTGCTAAAGGAACAAGAGGTATAGCATCTAGCTCTTTGGAACAAAGCATCTGGTGTCTGTCCTGAGTCTTAAAGGGTGTCATGCAAAGGAAGAGAGGTTTCTAGACAGAAGGAAATATATACTAAGACATTAAATATAAAAGATGGGCCCGTACTGAGAACCACAGTGGCTATATCAGAGATAAAACCAAGCAAGTAGGAAGGAGTTTGATTTTGTAAAAACTATATACAATGCCATGTCAAGAAAGTCATTAAAGGATCAAATTCATTAGGCAAAGTAATCCCACCTCTGCCTCCCCACAAAAAGATGGCCTAACACCAAAACCTATGAATATATAAGCTTGCATTGCAAAGAGAGATGAAAAAGGGAATTGAGGTTGCAGAAGGAATTACAATTGCTAATCAGATGATTTTAAGATAGAGAAATTATCCTAGATTATCCAGATAGGTCCAATCTAATTACATGGTTCTTGAAAGCTGAGACCCTTTGCAAACTGGGTAACATGAGATGAAGAGAGATGCAAAATATGAGAGGGATTCAACCTGCCTTTCCAGACTTTCAAGATGGAGGAAGAGAAACATGAGGTAAGGAATAGATGTGG